GAAAAAACCCTTCGAGAAAAGCATTAGTTAGATTTAGAATAAGTAGTCATCAACTTAGAATTGAAACAGGTAGATACGAAAACATTCCTCGCAATGAAAGGTTATGTCACTTTTGTACAAGTAACAAAATCGAAGATGAAAATCATTTCTTACTAGATTGTAAGGCTTATTCTCAGATCAGAGACATATTTTTCTCCAAACTAGAAACTAAAATACCTGACTTCAAATCACTTTCACACGATACTTTAATATCTCTTCTTATGAATTCTTCTGATTATTTAATTAACTGTCAATTAGTTTCATTTATCTCGCAATGCTTTGAATTAAGAACCAAATTAATATCAATGAATGAATGAATGAGAACTGTAACGTCTTTGTAATGTTTTGCACGTTCTAATTAGTTGAATTAGTACTTAAATTTAGACTAATAGCTTTTGCAATACTGTAATTCCTTTATGGTCATGCAAATAAAGCTTTTGGTGTTGTTGTTGTTGTTGTTATTACCCATTTCCTGCACTTCTTGTTCAATCATGCTGTCAAACAATTTTTCAAAAGAGGAACTGTCGACATGGCCATCAGTGCCCTCTGTTCATCCGCCATTTTGAGTGTGCCAATGCATACGCATAATTAGCACAAGATAGTCCGCTGTTTGCGAGAACAGTTTAGCAAATCCTTTTTCGGATTTCCCAATCGAACGACAAAAAGGGAAATCCAAACAATCCGGATTTGGATTTCTTAATTGAAATCCACCCTGACGACGTATTTCTCGGAGGTGAAGTCCATTTTCGGATTTCGTGTTCGATTGGGAAATCCGGATTTAGATTTTCAAAATCTAAATCCGGATTTTCCAATCAAATGCACCCTTGAACTGTTGTAGGATGAGCTAGATGAAATGATACGCCATGAAATAGAATAGTAAATGTTGTTGTCTTCAACAACATCTTATCTTGACGGTTGCTTAATCCACAGATAACTCTGTTGACAACAAATCATGCAACTGCCGACAAAAGAACACATGCCCTCTTAACGGAAATTGCCTTCAATCATCATTTATCTACCAAGCAACCGTCAAACGTAGCGACAATAACACTTCTGAAACATACACCGGATTCACAGAAAACGCCTTCAAAACAAGATACAGAAACCACACTGCATCATTCCGTCACACAAAACACAGGAACTCTACGGAACTCAGCAAACACGTCTGGTCTCTTAAAGACAACAACATTGACTATTCTATTTCATAGCGTATCATTTCATCTAGCTCATCCTACAACAGTTCAAGTAAAAGATGTAACCTTTGCCTCAAAGAGAAATTTTTAATTATCTGTCATCCCGATCTATCATCACTTACCAAATGTAACGAACTTGTATCTTCTTGCCGCCACAGGAACAAAGCATTGCTACATAACAACTAAACATTTAAATTTAAATTTTCCCCAACAATGTAATCTCAAAGTATATAGTCGATGGTTATGAATATTCTTATCACTAAAATCCCCTAAGCGATGTGTTTGCATATGAATTTGCATAATATGGCGGACGGACACGTTTTTCTAGCTCCGAACGCTGATCGCTTTTTCTCCAGGCCGCGGCTTGTTAGGACCAGTTCCTTGCCTGATTTGAGTAAGGTATACACTGACTCAACTCTGGTAGTCGCTAATCGGATCAGTAACCAGAATATGTCTACTTCTGTGCCCGATTATGGTTCGCTTTCTTCGCCCTGTGAATTGAGTGAAATGGCTGCTATCAAGAATGCATTAAATGGACGGTCCATCAACTCCCTGAAGGTGGAAGATCTAAGGGACGAACTTGAGAAAAGAAAGCTTTCCAAATCTGGCAGGAAAACTGAGCTGGTTAAAAGACTCAAGGAATCGATTTTGACAGGATTTGGTGAAATTCAAATTCCCCGCCAGAATGTCAACCAACCGTCACCTCGGCCTTCGGCTGTTATAAACCTGGACGACACTAGCAGCAGCCCAGAACAACAGAGTCACACATGCGATGGCTATAAATCCCTTAAAGTTCTTTACGACCGCTTGGAAAATGAGGTAAACAAGCTCAAAGACTCGTATGGATCTCTATTAACAGACAGTAGGAAAATACAGTCAACCTGCAAATCGTGTCAAGATCAACAACGGATTCAGGAAGAAAATCGCGCTCTGCGAGAGCAACTTCAGCTAATGAAGGGAAATCTAGATAAAACAAAAGAGGAGCGAGATTCCCTACAGATGGTAGTATCATTGCTAAGCAAGGAGCTATACTTTCGCCCTGACAGCAATGAAGCTTTTAAAGAGTCGCCTTCGGTTGATCCTAAGGTGTCGGATACAAAGGGGTCGGATACAAAGGCGGACACAAAGCAAAACAAAGGATCATCTAAATCTCTATCTTCCAAAACAACGAAGAATCGCCAAAGCAAATCGAGCAAGAAAAAGCCGCCAAACAAGAGTTCTCGGAACAGCTCTAATACTCTTAACCACAACCAAGAAGGGCCCTCGCCGACCACCGTCATTATCGGCGATTCTATTATCAGAAACATACAAGGGTGGCAATTAGGGAAAGAGGTTGGCC